ATAAAGCACATTGAGATACAAGCAAAATTGAATTTACTTACTCGGCAAATGGAAAACTTCAACTCCAAATTTGATAAGGTACAAAAGCTTGAAACTTGATGAGAATCTTTTTCCCTTGATAAGTTGATATGGTTAGAGACTCGTGTTGATAACGTATTATAAAATAAAGAAAAGAGAGAAGATAATTGATGGGAAATAGAACCAATGCTTTTCTATTCCAAAGTTGAGTGTATATCATTTTCAGAGTACATCTATTTATAGTCTCAAGATTATGAAATATTATAAATGAAATTAAAAGCTAATGAAATGACTTGAAGTTGTAGACTTGAAAGGTTCAAGAGTTAGAGAAGATGAAAGATTGGGAAGTTATAGAATTGCAAGAGACAAACACATTTATTCATAACAATTTTATAATTTTTTGTAATTATTAAAAGATCCCGATTTTAGTTGAAACTACAATATTATTTATGCCTATATATTAAAAATATTTTTACTTTAATATTTACGATTGGAAAATACCTTTTGTGTCCTTTTGGAAATGGTATTTGATTTTAGGGTAGCTAGTTTTAGAACTTCATGGTTTTACAATTTTTCAGGGTTTCCTAAAATAGTTTAGGATATTAAATAATCTATTTTTGGGGATTGAATTGAAAAATAATTTGTTCGAAAAATATCCCAAGAAATATTCCTATCCTAAAATATCAACACTTGTTGGAACAAAATATCCTTTAATAAATTAAAAACCCAAAATCTCCTATAATTACGAATGGCCGTTTTACCTGCCCCGACGAGGACTTGTCTTCTCCCACCTTGAACAGGGCAGGGGTTCCTTGAAAAAGTCAAGGACGAGGACCAAGAAATTCCCTGTCCCTAGGGATAGGGTTAGGACGGGGATAGAGGTTACCCTGCCCCGCCCAATAAATTACAACCTTATCCTTATATATTTATACATTTTAGATTTGCCTTCCCTATATATATCTATTTTTTCCACCCCTAACCCTAATCCCTCATCACAGCCAATTCTCTACAACCCTTCTCGCTCACAACACCAACTTACACGTACTTCAAATGTAAGCAAGCAACCAAAGCCTTAAATTGCTCAGCGAATAGAAATGCTAGCTCTCTCGTCGGCGTCATCACCAACGTCGACACCCTGTACAACTCCTCCTCCAATCGGTGCAGTATCAGTAGCACAAATGCCATCGTTTTCAAGTTGTGGGGATTCATTATTGAAATTAGGGTCTTGCTCTTTAGTAGTTTGTGATTTGGGTTTGGGTTTGGGTTTGGTTTAGGTTTGGTTTCAGATTTGGAGAAGAGAAGGAAGTTTTCATCAGCGAGGGAATCTTGTTCCATGTTAGGGGTTGTTTGGATGGTGGAAAAATCAGTGAAAAAAATGAAATTTTGATTTCAGGGATTTTTCCCTGCAAAGTTCCGGTAGTCTGGGGGGTTACCCCTTAATACACGGCTGAGATGGGGATTCCTTGTTATCCCTGCCCCTCACCCATCTCTACCTATAATCACTCGATAGCATTTTTCAAGCAATCAATTGAAATCGATAGGCACGATATTAGCCGATAGGGTTTCTATCATATAGAGATTCTTTTGTTTCACTTCAAGGCTCTAGAAATTAGGGGTGATCAGTTTCTAGTGCCCCGCAGTTTTTTTAAGGAATAGTTTTAAATACACCCCCAAAAAGTTACAATGCACCCCTAATAGTTTACAAAATTTATAATTCAGTCTCAATTTCTACTCGAGTACCTGGACCTTTGTTCCAGTTTCCGGTTCCTAGTTCTAGCATTACAGGAACCGGAATCAGACTTGAGATTTTTTGGTTCCAATTTTTCAGAACTGGAATCAAACCCTAATGGGGTTTATTCTAGTTCTGATTCTATCTTTTACCCATGTTCACCCCTACTAGAAATTGAAATAGATAAGCAACTGAAAGAAGTAAGTTTATCTAACCAGGCTGAAGTATTGAGATAAGACTATTTTCTCATAAACCTTTGCAAATAAGTTATTTCTCAACTAAAAGAAAGAGTACTATTTAATATAATTTGCCTTTATTTAATAAAACTTTGGCCGAACGACATGCACCTGCCCATAGTTTGCCATAACGACAATTTGATATCCAAAAGGTTTGAAAATGATAATTAACCACTTTCTATCCATCTCTGTTAATAAAATCTGTTTAAGTAAGGGCAATATAGTAATTTTATACCCATTAACTTTAAATTAATCAATAAATCCCTATAGTTTTTTATTTCATTTTTCTCTTCTCTTTCTCATCTTCTTCTTCATCTCTCCCTTCTCTTTCTTTCTTTTCCTCCGTCTTTTCCCTCCTCCCCTCTTCTCTTTTTTTTACTTTTCTTCTCCGTCTTTTCCCTTCTCTTTCTTCCCTTTCTTCTCCAGTTCTCCCTCTTTTCCCTCCTCCCCTTCTCTTTTTTTCCTTTTCTTCTCCCTCTTTTCCCTTCTCTTTATTTCCTTTCCTCTCCATCTTTTCCCTCCTCTCGTTCTTTTTTTTCCTTGTCTTCTCTGTCTTTTCCCTCTTCCCCTTCTCTTTTTAACTTTTCTTCTCCCTCTTTTCCCTTTGGTCGCTAGGCAAGAACCCGTCTTTTCCTCCAGTTTTTAAATTTTTTTAAATTTTTATAATTTTTTACAGTTTGGGTTGGAAGTGTCTGAAACTTGTGGTGGTTTGTGGCGGTGGTGATGGTTGTATTTGGTGGTCTTTTCCTCTTCGGTTTTTTAATTTTTAATTTTTTTTCAAATTTTTATAACTTTTTACAATTTGGGTTGGAAGTGTTTGAAATTTGTGGTGGTTTGTGGTGGTGGTGATGGTTGTATTTGGTGGTTCTGGTGGCAAGTTTGGAGCTGGTGGAGGTCCTGACTCAGAAGAAAGGAAGAAAATAGAAGGGAGAAGGGAAAAGACGGAGAAGAAAGGAAAGAAAGAGAAGGGAAAAGAGGGAGAAGAAAAGGAAAAAAGGAAAAAAGAGAAGGGGGAGGGAAAAGACGAAGAACTGGAGAAGAAAGGAAAGAGAGAAGGGAAAAGAGGGAGAAGAAAAAGTAAAAAAGAGAAGGGGAGGAGGGAAAAGAGTCAAAAGACGGAGAAAAAGAAAGAAAGAGAACGGAGAGATGAAGAAGAAGATAAGAGAGAGAAGAGAAAAACAAAATAAAAAAATATGATAAAAAAAGTTTAGGGATTTATTGATTAATTTAAAATTAATAGATATGAAATTACTATATTATCCTTCTTTAAACAGATTTTATTAATAGAGTTGGACAGAAAGTGGATAATTATTATTTTTAAACCTTTTGGATACTAACTTATCGTTATCACAAACTATGGATAGGTGCATGTGTTGGGCCTAAAACTTTTATTTAAAGTTGGGAGATGTAATCGCGACTTAAATTTGTTTTAAAGATCATGACCAGTGATTTTACCTCAATCAATTCGAGGAGATATCAAAAGCAGATGAGCAGATACTAGTCCAGAATATCATAAATCATGAGACATTGACCATTTGATGGAATTTGACCACTGATATCAATTATATAAAGATTCCACAAAACAATTGCAATCAGCATCACTAATCAAATTGCTAATGATGGAATACAACTTTTAAAATGTCTTATCTGTGTTGAGTCTTGAAGGCCCTTGGAAATTAATTTATTTGTGGTCCTAATTTCATTTAATTTATTGTCAGGACTCAGGAATTTCTACTAGTAAATTCTTCCGCACTAACTTTTCTGTATGGAAGTTTCTTTGCATTTCCAAGTTTCGGTACCCTTCATTGTCAAGAAATTGATTAATTTCCACCACGTGGAAACTTGGATATTAATTTCTGGGAGAAAGGGAAATTCAACTATGCCTCTTATTCAACGCTAATAAATATGCTGAGCTAGTAATGTTAGTATTTGGAATTTATGTGAAAGTTATGCAAACAAGGAGAGGAGCAGAGAATATATAATAGTTAGATGGTGGTGATGTTGACAATTGACCAGTTTATTAACTAAAAACTCGTGAAATTTTTAATAAATTCGTAATTATCATGCAATTAAGCATTTTGTTGACACTAAACTTGATAAATATAAGATTTGACTTAAGGATTTTGAATCGTTTCTCTTTTTTAACAAATGGGGAAGTGTGCAACTTGCCATTCTATCAACAATATTATTGATACTAAACTTGTTTAGTTTTTCTTGGCCATTAGATTTTCTCAATGAAGAAAACTTATGGCTGAGCCATCATGCTTCTTGGTCTATGGTTGGTTCATTGGTTCAAAAAGAGTATGAGATACCCTGTTTCATATTGAGATAAGTCAGCTGGTTGGATATACTAATTGTTAAAGCTTAATCTGGAAGTTCATGGTGAATTGAGAATTTCAAGATTTGATCTTGAACTATATATTCAACTAAAAATAATTCCAGTTGAGTAGTTTAATTGGAGTTTATTTTTGTCACATCAAGTACTTAATGTCTTAATCCCACTCCACATTCTACGCCAAGTACCAGGAACCATCGAGGACTTTTATAACTTATCTGTTCAAGTAGAATAATTTATTTAAAAAAAAAAAAAAACTGCTGGATATTAGGCATAGAGGCTCCTAAGTCAATCCACAAAGCCAAATCAACGAACCACTCCTTTCCCCCTAGATTATATGGATATCTAAAGCAAGGATTTCATACAAGCATAAAATGATAATATTCTTTAACTAAAGTTCTGAAATTTTAGAACAATATTATCATTGCTTTTTTATCTTTATATCTAAAATCCTCCTTGAATATTCTTCAAAGATATGTAACTAAAGTAAGTCGAGGAAACCAAAAAATTTTTGGAAAATTTTTCCGCACGTTACTCTCAGCATACTTTCTTGCGTGTCCACTCTCCCTTTCCTAACTCTTTTGTATTCACTCATGGAGCTATTGACGATTAAGATCTTATTGTTCAGCCTTTACAGCTCTTCGGCTAAAATAGTGATCCAATTTGTTTTCTGAATAGAGAGATGGTCAATCTACTTTCAGCTATACTTTACCTAATTATACCATTTTTCATGCTTTCTATCCTTACTGATGCAAATCCTCTCTCTATATTTTGCTCCGGTGATAACTACACACATGGTAGCACGTTTGAACTTAACCTCAAGCTACTTCTTCAATCATTACCTTCCAATACTTCACCAACAGGATTTTACAATAAGTCTTCTGGAGATGAAGCTAATCGAGTTTATGGGCAGGCCCTTTGTCGAGGGGATGTCCACCCCACAGTTTGTAAAAATTGCATTGCAAATGCAGGTCAGGAAATCATAAATGGATGCAAAACTTAAGAAAAGATTATATGGTACGAATTATGTCAAATTCACTATTCATGCCATAATTTCTTTGGGATGATGGTTTATACTGGAAAGTTCCCAGACATCAATAATCAGGAAAAAAGTGTTTCAAATCCTGTTCATTTTAATAAAGTTTTGATGCATTTAATGAAAAAGCTCTCAACTGAGGCTTCATCAAATACATCAAAGAACATGTTTGCAGTCGGGGAAATTAAATATTCGAAAAGCACTATATATGGGCTTGTACAGTGTACCAGGGACATAACTGTAAGTGAGTGCAGCAATTGTTTAAACTCCATTTTAGGAGATCTTAGCTCATGTTGCCGTCGTCGTAAAGGTGGGATTGTGTTCAGTAGGAACTGCAATGTAAGATTTGAACTGGCACGCTTCTATAATGCTTCAAGTATGTTATTAACATTCCCATCAACGTCAGGTAAGGACATTTAATCGTTCTCACTTTTTATTAAGAAAAAGAATATCCTATAATGCCCTTTTTTTTTTTTTTTTTTTTTTTAAATCGATAAATTTTTTTAACCAGGACATTATGATCATGATTTAATCCTGATGAAATTAATTGAAATTTCCTTTAGGATTTATTAGTCCAGGGAGGTAATTGAAGCTTTTCTTCTAGTATTTGATCACAAAATGTTATAAATCTTGAGCTGCATGTTCTGCATCTTGTATTGTACTGTTTTCTTGCTCAGATTTATTCACTTGAAGTAACTAGTCTTCATGTTTTGATCAATTTTTATGGTGAATTNATGATGGCCTTTTTTTTTTTTTTTTTTTTTGAATCGATAAATTTTGTTTAACCAAGACATTATGATCATGATTTAATCCTGATGAAATTAATTGAAATTTCCTTTAGGATTTATTAGTCCAGGGAGGTAATTGAAGCTTTTCTTGTAGTATTTGATCACAAAATGTCATAAATCTTGAGCTGCATGTTCAGCATCTTGTATTGTACTGTTTTCTTTCTCAGATTTATTCACTTTAAGTAACTAGTATTCATGTTTTGATCAATTTTTATGGTGAATTTGAATTGAAAGCTGGAGGAAAATGGAAGATTGGGATGGTTGCGGCAATTGCCTGCATATTGGCATTTGTAATAGCTGTACTCATAGTGTCCTATGTTGTCTATCTCCGGTGGAAGAAAGGAGGACAAGAAGGTAAAATCATTTAAATTGCATCCAAAAGTAGTTTACATATCAAAGTTGCCAACGGCTAAGACTTTAATTGTTATGCAGATGAGGAAAGAAGCCATAGTGCTTTGTTACATGAATTGGCAAGACCAACATCAGTCACGCTAACACAAGATGGTGACTTACTTAGTTTTGAGGAATTACCCTTCTTGTATCTGGCCATTATAAAGGCAGCTACTGATGACTTTTCTGATTCAAATAAGCTTGGACAAGGTGGGTTCGGCACTGTCTACAAGGTAACGTACTATATTCTTAAATTCATTATATCTCTAATGTTTTTAAATATCATAGGCCTGAATTTGTATCTGACTTTGGATCTTTCAGGGTGTGTTACCAAATGGGAAGGAAGTAGCAGTTAAAAGGTTGTCAAGGAGATCAAGGCAAGGTCTAGATGAGTTCAAGAATGAAATCATACTAATTGCAAAACTTCAGCATAGAAACCTTGTAAGACTACTGGGATGTGGAATAGAGGGAGAGGAGAAACTGCTTATATATGAGTACATGCCTAACAAAAGTCTTGACCTCTTTATCTTTGGTCTGTTATCGCTTTCACCTTAGTATGGGTTTATAAGTACTTAAAAACTTTGTTACGAGTACTTAATTATTTCCTTATCTGGTATAAATTTCAGATTCTGAGAGACGGTCACAACTTGATTGGAAGAGGTGCTACAATATTATTGGTGGAATTGCCAGAGGACTTCTTTACCTTCATGAAGATTCTAGGCTTAATATCATTCACTGGGATCTAAAGCCAAGCAATGTATTGGTGGACAAAGAGATGATTGCCAAGATTTCAGATTTTGGTATGGCAAGGATTTTTGGTGAAAATCAGAATGCAGTTCAGACTAGGAGGATAGTTGGAACATAGTATGCTTCTTATCTACCGATGTCTCTTTATTTATATATATATATTGCCGAGTAATCATTTCAAGTTTTTAGATGTTAAACCACCACCTAAACTTACATTTGAAACAGTGGATACATGCCTCCAGAATATGCAATGGAGGGACTGTTCTCAGTCAAATCTGACGTTTTCAGTTTTGGTGTTGTAATGCTTGAGATCATAAGCGGTAAAAAAAATAGCGGCTTCTATCTTACCGGACATGCTCAAACACTCCTTGCATATGTAAGCTGACATATATGTTAAAATATAAAATTTTATCCACGTAAGTTTCGTTTAAAAAGGGATAACATAAGGGAAACAACTTTTCTTTGGCATCAGGCATGGCAATTGTGGAATGAAGGAAAAGAATTGGAATTTGTAGACCCTGTATTGATGGAATCATGTTCGACGCCAGAAGTGATGAGATGCATACATATTGGGCTGTTGTGCGTGCAGGAAGACCCTGAAATCAGACCCACCATGTCATCGGTTTTGGCTCTTTTGGCCAGTCAATCAATACCTCTTCCTGATGAACCAAGACAACCGCCATTTTCAGTGGGTAGAATTGTTCTCCCTAATCAGTCTTCAACAACAGACCCTTCTGCACGTGACATACACTTTCTGGCATCTCGCCGCGTTGATTATTGATGGGATTGCATCTCTTTTGTGTATTTGAAGACCAATGGTCTACTACCTTTGTTTCTTTTTTCTCCTTCCATTTTTTGTTCACCCTGAAAGTGCAACTGAAGATAGGTAGATTGGTGCTGAAGAGAATATCTATTCCATTAGAAGAATAACTAATTTATTACTCTCAATTATTTGGAGGAACTAGTTGTGCCATAACCATGATTGTTGAACACACGAGTATGGTGGTAAAACTGTGGATTTGGATTGCATTCCAACCTAATCCATTTTTATAATTTTATGAATTTATTGAGTGGATTGGATTTTTGTGGATAGTGGATTTGATTGAGTTATCCAATCCATAAAAAAGTTAAATTCCATAACTTACATCTAAACACGTTTTTTTTTTTCTGAACACATAAATTAGATTACCTAATATATCATTATTCATAATAAATATAAATTTTGGAATATTGTCTAAACCCTCAAGGTATAACTGTAGACGGTCAGAATCTACAGTGGATGTTTGTCTAGCCAATTGTCACGACTATAAAATTAAATCTAAGTATCGTAATTAGCGATAAAAATGGTCGAATCCGTAGAGAATAAAATTAACGACTTAATATATATTTGAATAATGAAAATGAAATTGACAAATTGATTAATTAATTAAAAACTAAGAAAATTAATTAATTGCAAGTAATTAAAAATTACTAACTAAGACACAATAGTAAAGACGATGCCCCTTTGGATTCGGTTTGACCCAAAACTAACACCGACATTTCTTCTCCTTGTTCTTAGATTTCCTAAACCTACAAGCTAGACAAATCATATAAAATAATTTTTCAACAATCTAGATATAATCTATCATGTCTCTATTAATTTAATCACATATTGATTGGTTAAAGACTATACCTAAATATAATCTATCATGTCTCTCTATTGTTTCAATCAGAGCTATCATCTATTTACCCAAAAACGCTAACAATATAAACCACTAGCTAGTACAAAGCAAATATGTACAACATATTAACCTTGTATTATCCAATCAACCAATCGTCACATTGCATGAATTCCAAGCAGAAATACTGAGAATGTACTATCACTTGATCACAATCTAAATTGAAGCAATTCAAAGCAATAATCACATTCAAGATTCTCAAACCAACATTCAATATGCAATTAGTTCAATTTCAACACAAGTCCTCAATGGACATCAACAATTCAACAAATCGTGCATCAAAATCTGTAATCAAACATGAAACGAAAACAAACATAATTCAAACACAACACACAATTCAAACAATCTATCCAATAATCATCTCAATCCAGTCAGTCAAGAAATGAAATAAAAAGAAGTTGTGGTCGTCGATCGTGGTCTGGCCATCACCGGAACAAGCAATTGGGAGCTTAGCTGCTCATCATGGTGCTGATGGTGGGTGGAAAGACTAAAATGGTGCTGGTCATGGTGGAAATCAAGTGACCGGCAACTGGAGAGGGTGGTTTGTGGCTGAGGAAGACGAACAGCCAAGGTGGCGGTTCATGATGGCTGGTGGCGAAATGGAGATCCAAGCTCACTAGAAGATAGATCAAGTGCTGAGTAAGATAGATTGGGAGCTGAGAAGTCCAAATGTTGCCCGAAAATGGACGAAACCCGGCTGGAAGGCGAACGGTCACGGCGGCAGAATACGAAGAGTCGCCGACGTTTCTTGACTGAATCGATGTTGATCGACGGTGGAAATGCAAAAGGAACCTGAAGAGGTGACAGCGAGCACTAGGGGAAGTTAAAGGTTCGCCGAAAAGTGGAGATATGTGGCCGGAAGCAGAAACATCACCGATGGAGATATGTGACTGATGGCTATGGGAAGGTGGAGAGTCGCAAAAAAAAAAAAAAAAAAAAATGGAGATGAAGGGTCAGCGGTGGTGGAGCTTTGGGGTGAGCGGCTGCTGCTTTTGCACAACCGCTCACTTTCCTTATATAGTGACGATGGAAAATATTATTCGGTCCTTACACGAATAAAAAATAATAAAATAATCCCCAAATGTAAATGACAACTTGTCCCCTGAATATCATAAAAGAGACAAAATCAACCCTAATCAATAAATCACACCCTAATTATCAACTTACACATTCTTAAAATTCATTCCCAACATGCAACATTTGTAAGAAAAATTTAGAATGTGGAGGTTCGGGGCATGTGAATGGCATATGATGTTTGCAGAGTGTAGTCATCTTAAATTCAAAAGCTAATTAGGACTATTGTTCTATAAGCAGTTATCGAAAGTCATATTTTAAGGGGGCGTTTGGTTCGGGGAATATTGTATGACTGAGAATGTTATATTAATTAGGAAGATAGATTACCTTGAAGATTATTGAGAATGTTTAGAGAAATGCGTTTGGTTAGGTTGAAATAAATCAGTGGGTATGTTATATTGATATGTTTGGTTGGAATGAATACATTGGTGGGTATGTTATGCAGATTACTGAATTGCCCTTCTCTTTTTTATTTATTATTTAGATTATTTTTTAACCCACTACATTTAAGAATATATCTAAAACACCCCCATAATAAAAGTTTAAAAATTAATAAAAGACCCCAGCCACCTAAGCCACTGCCAACTGCTGACAATCATGACTAAGAATTAAGATGGCATATGACCAATCGGATCTGGCCGAAAACGGACAGATCTATACTGGCCGTTTTTGGTCCGATCCATGGCCATTAACGGCCAGGATAGATTTGATTGTTTCCAACCAGATCAATGCATGACTGGTTAGATCCGGCCAGTCATGCGCAGTTCCGACACCGACGCTAGTGATCAGTGGTGGTGGCCAGATCTAAACACCAGTCTTGGGTAATTTTTTTTTAAGTTCAAGAGTATTTATGTCCTAAATATTTTGTATATAAGGATAAAATAGCCCATTAATATTTTTGTAAGTTGTTTTCAAAATAAGGGCATTATTGTCCAAAAATTTTAATAGTTAGGGGTAAAATTGTAATAAAATTAAGATTATCAAGTAATCTTAAAATATTTAATAAAATGGTGGTATTCAGATTATCACTTATATAAGCAATAATAATTACTATTGGTTTTGAAAGATTATCTAAATCTCATACTGTTTGTCAACCAAACATGATAATATAAGTAATATAAGATGATATTACCTTAATAATGAGGAATAAACCCCACCCAAACATCCCCTAAAGTTTATTATGATTTAGTTGCTGTCATTGACTTTTCTAAATTATTAGTTTAGTTTTTTTTTTTTTTTTCAATCAATCATGGCCAATGAATTGATTTCGAGCTAAATTCACTGTACTATGAAATTAGGGTCAGCTTGAGGGCTTATTTCAATTAGATCAGGCAGTTTCTTTGAAGCAGCCCTGGTGTCTAAAGTCGTGCCCTTTTTTTTTTTTTTTGTTAACCAAGTCATGCCGCACTGCTACGTTTCTGAATACTAATTTCTTAAAAAAAGAAAAAGACAAAAAGAATATCATCTAATAAGCATGTGAAGAAGGGGTAAAGAGCCGTCATTTCCTTTGGAGTAGAGTCCCAGGACCACGGTTCATTATAACTCTCTCAATTTATGAAAATGATAGAGCCACCGAAGGTTGCGCACCAAATCTGTGCACCGAATGACATGACAAAATCCTGACCGTTTATTAATATTAACTGATAATGAATCGACGGTCAGGATTTTGTCACGTCATTCGATGCATAGATTCGGTGCGTAACCTTCTGTGGCTGTAGCATTACTCCTCAATTTATGCCTTTCCATGATGTAAACTATTAGAATAAAGACATTTTCCCAGTGGTTCATGACTTGAGAAAAGGAATGTCATGATTTTCTCCAATAATTCTTCCTAGAAAAGACCTCTGAACTAGATGGGAAGAGACTGACTCCATGAGCATGGTTTGCTTATATAACTAGCTTAAGGTTCTATAGAGGAAGACACAATTTCAGCTGAGAACCACAGAGTTTACTGTGGAAGAAATGAAAATGGTTCATATCTTCAGCGTTTCAAGAACTATTAAACAACTTTTTCTTTGTTTTCTCATAGCCGCTTTTCATGATCTTGCTTGTGCGGATCCCCCCTACAATCTTTGTCCACAAAATACGAATTATGCAGTTGATAGTCCATTCGAACATAACCTCGATTATCTTTTCAGGTCCTTACCCTCAAATACTTCTATTGCCAAGTTTTTCAATACCTCAGTTGGAAATTCCTCGGACACAGTTTATGGTCTGTACATGTGCCTGAACTATATTCAAACTGATGATTGCAAAACCTGCATAGAAATTGCATCACAAGATGGTGAGAGGCTTTGTCCAAACAAAACCGAAGCAGTTGTTTGGGAAGAAGTATGTCAATTGCGCTACTCTAATGAAAATTTCTTTGGCCGGCTGGATGTCAGAGGAAACATCCCCAAATTTAACGTAAAAAATGTATCGGAACCAGAAAGATATAAATCTGTCGTGAAGAAAATTCTAAGTAATCTCACCAAGGCAGCAGCTTTTGATCCTTCAACTGAGATGTATGCTACGGGAAATGTATCCTTTACCGATAAAGATACGTTATAGGCTTTAGTTCAGTGCACTAGGGATTTATCTGCTCATGATTGTAATACGTGTCTCGAGACTGCAATTGCGGATATTTCATCTTGCTGCTATTTTTCTCGAGGTCGTAGTTGCTATTTGAGGTATGAATTATATGCCTTCTATGACGGTGTCACTGAACCTGCTGCCACTGATGAAAACAGAGCCACAGGGAAAGGTAATTACTGTTGATTGTACCTTCCAATAGGAACTACTTTCAATACTAGTGTTTGATGAATTAAAAATCAAGATTCGGAATTTTATGCTTTCAAATGCAGGCAACCAAAGGAAGATATTGATAATTATAATTCTATCAATTGTCTTGGTATGTCTAATATTGCTGGTAGCCTTGGCTTGCACAGTCTACTGTATTAGAACAAGAAAAGGAAGTCGGAAAAGTAAAGATGCATATTGGAATGTTTTTGTTCCTTTGTTTTATTTCCTTTTTAACATCACCTTCTTCTGTTAAGTTTAACTTTTTGTCACTGTGCTTCAGGGGAGGCTCAAGTTAATATTCAAGTTCAATCCAACAATAGTCTGTGATCATAACAGAACAGATTTCCGTGACCAACATGTTCAGGGGACAGATGATCTAAAGGCTCAGGAATTTTATATTGATCTAGAAACTATACATGTTGCAACTGATAGTTTCTCTGATTCCAATATTCTCGGACAAGGCGGGTTTGGTCCTGTTTACAAGGTAAAAGAAAATAATGTATCTAATGATTCATTAACTGATTGTTCCATTAACCAGAAGGTAGTGGCTTTTTCAGGGTATATTAGGTGATGGAAAGGAAGTAGCTGTAAAAAGGCTTTCCACTTGTTCTGACCAGGGTACCGAGGAATTCACAAATGAAGTCCTACTCATACTGAAACTACAACACAAAAATCTTGTTAGGCTTCTTGGTTTTTGTGTAGATGGAGAGGAAAAGCTGCTTGTCTACTAGTTTATGCCAAACAGCTGCCTTGATGTAATCCGTTTTGGTAAGTTTTATGTCTTTTTTTTTTTTTTTCCAGCTTGGCTCCTCCAATTGACTTCAAAGAAACTATATTTAATGGTTAGATCCAAGGAAACGTGTGCAACTCAGTTGGAGCAAACGTATTAATATTGTAAACGGAATTGCAAAGGGAATTTTTTATCTTCATGAAGATTCTCGACTTAAAATCATTCACAAAGACCTAAAATCTAGTAATGTCTTGTTGGACTCTGAAATGAATCCAAAGATCTCAGACTTTGGAATGGCCAGGATTTTTGCTGGGAGTGAAGGAGAAGCTAATACTGCAAGAATAGTTGGAACATAGTAAGTACTAAACTTGTTTAATTTTTGGGTGAGAAATTATTTGAATTTGACATGTAAAAATACATATGTTTACTATTGTAATATTAAAAGTTCATTAGGAAAGCCCATAAAACAAATGCATAGAATTTATTGGCAAAATCTTGTTATTTTATTGGTGAAATAGCGGTTACATGCCTCCAGAGTATGCTATGGAGGGATTATATTCCATTAAGTCTGATGTTTATAGCTTTGGAGTGCTCTTGCTTGAAATTATCACTGGAAGGAGGAATGCCAGCTACTACAAATAAAAAAAAGCTCCTACCCTGCTAGCGCAGGTAAATTTTTTTACTCTGCAATTCATATCAATGTTCTACAAGTGCAAACATTAATGTTAGCCATATTTACCAAATGATGATGCAGGCATGGCAACTATGGAATGAGGGGAATGCATGGGAGTTAATGGACCCATTATTAACTGATACAACGGATCATGATGAATTTCTAAGATACTTCCAGATTGGTTTGTTGTGCGTTCAAGATGATACATTTGACAGGCCTACAATGTCTTCTGCCGTTGTAATGTTGAAAGGGGAAACCAAAACTCTTCGACAACCTGATAGACCTGCCTTCTCATTGGGAAGATTTACTGATCATTATCAATTAGAAGATAACAATTGTTTGGCTAATTACTTAACAATTTCTGATGTATTGCCTAGGTGATGGAGAAAGCCAATGGCTTTGAAATGCACTAGTGTCTTGTCCTGTAATTCAGTGTTAGAATTTGTACTTGTAATTTACCTATGCAGAGTCTGTAATACTTTCGGTTTCCAGGATAAAATTTTCAATATTTGGAAGAAAGTTTCGTCGCTTTTCATTTAAGCCGTAAGAAACCTGCAGTCAGATTGCTTTAATTCTTTTAGCTGTCTTATTTCGATAGGTAGAAATACCTAAAAAGTGACTTCGAAAATCTAAGCTGGTTCCAAAAAAGCATTGCATAGACGTGCCAAAAGCTGACTAAAGATAAGACCTTAAAGTTGCTCCTTGTCGACGTGAATACTGACAAATATTTCATATTCTAAATAAGAATCTCATTGCAGACTACTGAAAACTTTACACAATTAAACACGATGTTATCAAGAATCATTAATTAAATTTGTTTTCAAGATTTGACTAGTACTGAATTTATCTTAATAAATTCAGAGGGATATTAAAATCATAAAACAATGACCACAAGATGGAATTTAACTAATAACATATACCAAATATATCAAGATGCCACCATCTATGATTGTTCATTTCACCAAGGAAATTATTAATCTCGATATGGAATACGACATTCAAAATGTCTCCACATGGGTTGGCTAGCTCGTTGAAATTACTATATTTTTGGTCCATTGCTATATTCCTAAATTCATTGTGCTGCACAAGTCTTCGCTCAGGAATTCTTTAAACCCAAGTCAATAAAAAGCAAAAAGCATTAGCTGTCCGAGGAGAAGTCAACCACAAACGCATGGTTTAGACCAAAAATCAGTTCTTACTAGGGTAGACAAGAACAAACTATGGTAGCATATAATTAATAATATTTTAACAAACGTGAACTTTCTGAGTTTCTGTCAGAGGTTGACTCATTATGTGAAGGAATAAACTATAGAGTGATTTTTAAGAAAAATAATTCAATTGTGGAAAGGAGCGCACCGAATTCATGCACCGAATGACGTAATATAATTCTGACCGTCGATTAATTATATATAATTAATCGACGGTCATGATTGCATTACGTTATTTGGTGCATAAATTCGGTATACTACTTTCTGTAACTATAGCATTACTCGATTTTTAATTAGACCCTTTTACAGTTTTGGGCTCAAATGAAACCAAATTAACCTCCTATTTTTAGAATTTTACCAACACAGCCCTGCAATTGTCAAATATTTTGACAGTAAACATTATTTGAATGGTCAAAAGTTGTTAAAGAATCAACCAGCTGCCTGCTGCATGTTTTTAGTTAATTATATTGATGCAGCAGTATTATAGAAGAGGTCAATGTTTTTGCTTTTAAGCTATGGTCTTTAGAAATTATTCAACTTTCCTGGTTGTTTTTGTACTGTAAGGAAGTTTCTACGAACATTATTGACACTCCAACTTCAGTAGTTTCAAATAGTTCCGGCATCCTTCATTGCGAAAAATAAAGTCTTTTCCAGACCTTTTACTATTGAAAGGTTATTCTTTTTCTTTTCTACACTTGCGAAGCAGGATACTTTTCTAAGGAAAGGAAAGTCAACTACGCCTCAAAAAGAATAATGCTTACATTAGGTGATAGAAATGTTGATTCAGTTGACTAGTTTATAAAGAACTTGTTAATGTATAATAAATTCGTAATTGTTATTCAAATATTTATTAAATAATCGGTCTACAGTATTAAAATGAGTCTGACCGAGGATTGTGACAAATCATTGAATGGTTCTTATTTGATATCCTTATTTGATAATGAATATAAACTTTACATGATAAAATTAAAAGAGACCTATAATTTATTTATTTAGGCTCAAGATTAGTATGAGAAGCTGCAGCTGGCTTGGCGAATTGTTAAATTTCTTAATTTTAATTGTTTTCTTGAAGTATCCAACCAAAAAGGAATTCTACTTGAGCAATATATTTAACTGGAGTTCACCCTGAATTGAATATACCAAAGTCAAAATTCATGAACTTTTCTTCTTCTTCTTTTTTTTTCCCCTCAAAACTTAAATGTTTAATTTATTGGAATCGGTAATGCATTTCTAACAAATGACGAAATCACATTGTTTAATGTTTAGTTAATTCAAGTACAGGATGTCAAATCAGATGTCTGTGACTATGAATATGCCTTGAGGTAATTAAATTAGTGATCAAGTACTTAAGCCCACTCCTATCTCTACGCAATTCAAGTTCCAAGCACCATCCAGGAAGTTCTTATTAATTCATGTAGAATTCAATAGTCAACAAAAAACCAAAAACCTGCCATTAATTTATTTCTCTATAATAAAATGTACTCTTTCTAGCCAACAATTTCGACTGCTGGATATTACCCATGAAGCCTCCAAAATCAATCAATAAACCAATTGTTCTCTTTTTGAGTCTTTTGTGTTTCGATCATGGAAGTTACTCAGCAGCAGCAACTGTATGATAATTAAGATTATATCGCTCTGCCTTTATTGATTTTTGGATTAAGTATTGATCCAGTTTGTTCCCTTTTTAGAAATATGGTAAAGAATCTATTTTCAACTATGCTTTCAGTGATCATACCATTGTTCATGCTTTCTGCCCTTACTAATGCAAATCCTCTCTATACATATTGCTTCAATGATGCAATTAACTATACAGCTAATAGCCAATTTGAAGATAACCTCTACCAGCTTCTTCATTGGTTACCTTCCAATACTTCGGTAACAGGATTTTACAATAACTATTTTGGAGATGGCGCTGATCGTGTGTATGGGGAAGCTCTTTGTCGAGGGGATGTCAACCAAACTATTTGTCAGAATTGTATTAAAATTGCAAGCCAAGAATTCTTGAACGGATGCATGAGTTAAGAAAATATTATATGGTATGAATTTTGTCAAATTCATTATTCCTTTCATAATTTCTCTTCGCTGATGGTTTATACTGGAAAGTACCCCGATAGCAATAGTCTGGAGAAAAATGTTTCAAATCCGTCTCATTTTAATGAAGTTTTAATGTATTTGATGAATAACCTCTCAAGTGAGGCTTCATTTACTCCATCAAAACGCATGTTTGCAGTCGGGGAAATCAAATTTTCTAAAAGCAATATATACGGGCTTGTACAGTGTACCCCAGACATCAAAAAATCTGACTGCCGTAGTTGTATAACCTCCGCCCTGGGAGATCTCAACGCATGTTGCCAAGGTCTTCAAGGTGGGATTGTCGTTAGTAGAAATTGTAATGTGAGATTTGAGCTGTACCGCTTCTATAATGCTTCAAGTATGTCTTTAACATACCCATCTCCAGCAGGTAAGGACATCCTAAAATCCCCTGTTTTTTGGAGAAAAAAATAATTCTGTTCTTAACCAAGTTTTAGAGGGAGATTATCTTCTTTAATTAATTATAAGGTAATTAATGAATATGTTTTTTAGGATTTACTAGTCCTGGGAGGTAATTGAAACTTTTTTAACTTCTTCTGGGAAAACAGTCTTGTAGCATTTCAATCACAAGATTTGTAAATCTTGAGCTGTGTGTTCTGCATCTTTTATAGTGTTGTTTACTTCCTCTGGTTTATTCACTGGAAGTAACTGGTTTTATGTTTTGATTATGTCTTGTTTTTCGGTGATTTTGAGTTGAAAGCAGGAGGAAAATGGAAGATTGGGATGGTTGTAGCGGTTACATGCATATCAGCATTTGTAATAGCTGTACTCATAGTGTCCTCTGTTGTCTATCTCCGGTGGAAGAAAGGAGGACAAGAAGGTAAAATCATTAAAATGTCTTCCGAAAGGATTTTACTGCATCAAATCTGCTAACAACTAAGACTTCAATTTTTCTACAGATGAGGAAAGAAGCCAACATGATTTGTTACATGAATTGGTAAGACCAACACCAGTCACACTAGCACATGAAGGAGACTTAGTCGGTTCTGAGGAATTACCCTTCTTGCATCTGGCTATAATAAAGGCAACTACAGATGACCTTTCTGATTCAAATAAGCTTGGACAAGGTGGGTTTGGCACTGTCTACAAGGTAATTTACTATATTAATTTTTAATTTCATTATATCTCTAATGTTATACATAGCATATATAGGCCTGTGTTTTATCTGACTTTAGATCTTTCAGGGTGTGTTACCAAATGGGAAGGAAGTAGCAGTTAAAAGGCTGTCAAGGAGATCATGGCAAGGTCTAGATGAGTTCAAGAACGAAATCATACTAATTGCAAAACTTCAACACAGGAACCTTGTAAGACTACTGGGATGTGGAATAGAGGAAGATGAAAAGCTGCTTATATATGAGTACATGCCTAACAAAAGTCTGGACCTCTTTATCTTTGGTGTGTTTCCACTATCCATCTAAGCATGGGTTTATAAGTGCTTTGTTACATGTACTTATTTCCTTGTGTGGTAAAAATTTCAGATTCTGAGAGACGATCACAACTTGATTGGAAGATATGCAACAATATTATTGGTGGAATTGCCAGAGGACTTCTTTACCTTCATGAAGATTCTAGGCTTAAAATCATTCACCGGGATCTAAAGCCAAGTAATGTATTGCTTGATGAAGAGATGGTTGCCAAGATTTCAGATTTTGGCATGGCAAGAATATTTTGTGATGAAAATCAGAATGCAGCTAAGACGGGGAGAATAGTTGGAACATAGTATGCTTCTTATCTACCTATATATGTCTCTCCCTATTTTTTTTTTTTTTTTTAAATTTCCTTTTTCCAAGTTTATAGATGTCTTTCCATCCCCTAAACTTACATTTGAAACAGTGGATACATGGCTCCAGAATATGCTATGGAGGGACTATTCTCAATCAAATCTGATGTTTTCAGTTTTGGGGTTGTTCTGCTTGAGATCATAAGTGGTAAAAGAAATAGCGGCTTCTATCTTACAGGACAAGCTCAAACACTCGTTGCATATGTATGCTGACATATATGTTAAAATATTAAACTTCTTCAATGTAAGTTTCATTTAAAAATGGATAATATAAGGGAAACCTTGTTAATTTCTTTGGTATCAATCAGGCATGGCAACTATGGAATGAAGGAAAAGAACTGGAATTTGTACACCCTGTATTGATGGAATCATGTTCAACGCCAGAAGTGATCAGATGCATACATATTGGGCTATTGTGCGTGCAGGAAGATCCCGCTGTCAGACCCCCCCGTGTCATCTGTTGTGGCTCTTTTGGGCAGTGAATCAATAGGTCTTCCTGAACCAAGACAGCCTGCATTTTCTGTAGGTAGAATTGTTCTCCCTAATCAGTCTTCAACAACAGATCCTTCTGCATGTGACATGACACTTTCTAGTATCTCACCACGGTGATTATTAATGAGATTGCAACTCTTCTGGTGCAAGTGAAGCTAGGTAGATTGTAAATAGTGACATGAATGTCTACCCCATTAGAATCATAAAGAATTTATTACGCTCCATTAATTGTATATGATTGTGTTGAACTACGTCCATGAATCTGAAGGATAAAGAAAATTCTATTTTCATAAATTGCAATAAACAGATAAGGATATTTCATTGGCACATAATACAAAAGAATTGAGATTAGGGAATATGAAAAAAGAACCAAATTACTGCTTCTTTCTCCCTGTGACGTTTACGCCAAGATCAATTTATGATCTCTTTATAATATTGAAATCTTGTTTTGCAAAATTGATTAAGGTGTCAAGACTATTCTTCACGATCTTAAGATTGTCATTATCTTTCCGTAGTGTTTACCCTTAAAGAAACGCTTTTGACTTTTCCGCTAGCTTATAAATCATTTATTGACCGTTAATAAAAATAAAAATATAATATAGTTAATTTTATTATATTAATATTGTTATAATAATAATAATAAAAAAAAAATTCATTGACTCAAAATGGAATCAGAAACAATTTTAAAATAATTAATTTTCTCTAAAATTCTTATTAAATCAATATAATAAATAAAATTTGACATCAAGTATACATTGTAATGAATCAAAAAAGAGGGGCAAGATAAGCAGTTCAAGATACTGATACTGCCAGAGTATGCCAAAGAGAGAAGCAAGCAAGAGAGAAAGAATTTATATGTATTTTCTATATTGTATTGTAAACCTGTACAATGGCCAATTTATACAATTTCTATAAATGTAAAATAGGAAAATAATAACCACAAATCCCTATAATTATTCAATCAATCACATTAATTAAGGTGATTGATTGAAGCCATAATCATTCCTTAGTCTCAACCAGCAGAGATCAAGGGAAAGTTGTCATATTTTGTCACTCCCCCTCAAGCTTGTGGTTTGTAGATATCAAAAACTCCAAGCTTGCTAAGTAGATACTAATGTTGTCTACTGCATAATAGCTTTGTGAAGATATCTGCTGGTTGTTCTGAAATACGAATGTGTAAAATCTTAATTACCCCTTCTTCTATTTTGCTCTTGACAAAGTGGCAATCAATTTCTATATGTTTCATTCTTTCATGGGATATTGTATTTTTTGTTATGTCATTTGCAGCCTTGTTGTCGCAGTATAAAAGAATAGAGTTTCTTACTTGTAATTCTAGATCTTCCAAAAACCCTAGAATATAGATGATCTCACAAATCGTCTTTGCCATGGCTCTATATTTGGCTTCTATTGAAAAAGAGATACTATCGATTGCTTCTTTGTTTTTCAAGAAATAAGAGCTCCGTCTAGCTTGATGCAGAAACTTGTAAGTGATTTTCTTATCATCGGACATGTGGCCTAGTCACAGTGAGCTGTGATACCAAAACTTTGTCTCGGGGAAGGAGGAGTCCTAAACCAGGACACCCTTTTAAGTATTTTAGAATTTTTATCATTGCATCCATGTGAGATCGTTTAGGTCCATGCATGGACTAACTAAGAATGTGAACTGCATAACTGATGTCTGGACGAGTCATGGCGAGGTATATCAATCGCCCAACAAGTCTTTAATAGTTTGTGAGGTCTTCTAGAGGTGGATCATCTTCAAAGGATGATATCCCACTATCATACTCCTGAGTAGTCAATTTGATGTTTTGCTCTACTGGAATAATACTTGGCTTGGATCTTGATAGCCCATAATCATAAATGAGTTCCAAGACATATATATATTGGCTAAGAGATATTCTTGCTGGGGATCTTACAATTTCAATTCCTAGGAAATTTTTTGCCTCTCTTAGATACTTTATTCGGAATTGTCTATTGAGATGCTTTTTCAAGGATTTGATGCCTACTTCATCATTTCCTATAATAAGAATGTCATCGATGTAGATGATTAGAGNTTTCATTGGCACATAATACAAAAGAATTGAGATTAGGGAATATGAAAAAAGAACCAAATTACTGCTTCTTTCTCCCTGTGACGTTTACGCCAAGATCAATTTATGACCTCTTTATAATATTGAAATCTTGTTTTGCAAAATTGATTAAGGTGTCAAGACTATTCTTCATGATCTTAAGATTGTCATTATTTTTTTCCGTAGTGTTTACCCTCAAAGAAACGCTTTTGACTTTTCCGCTAGCTTATAAATCATTTATTGACCGTTAATAAAAATAAAAATATAATATAGTTAATTTTATTAGATTAATATTGTTATAATAATAATAATAATAAAATTCATTGACACAAAATGGAATCAGAAACAATTTTAAAATAATTAATTTTCTCTAAAATTCTTATTAAATCAATATAATAAATAAAATTTGACATCAAGTATACATTGTAAGGAATCAAAAAAGAGGGGCAAGATAAGCAGTTCAAGATATTGATACTGCCAGAGTATGCCAAAGAGAGAAGTGAGAAAGAGAGAAAGAATTTATGTGTATTTTCTATATTGTATTGCAAACCTGTACGATGGCCAATTTATACAATTTCTGTAAATGTAAAATAAGAAAATAATAACTACAAATCCCTATAATTATTCAATCAATCACATTAATTAAGGTGATTGATTGAAGCCATAATCATTCCTTAGTCTCAGCCAGTAGAGATCAAGGGAAAGTTGTCATATTTTGTCACTCCCCCTCAAACTTGTGGTTTGTAGATATCAAAAACTCCAAGCTTGCTAAGTAGATACTAATGTTGTCTACTGCATAATAGCTTTGTGAAGATGTCTGCTGGTTGTTCTGAAATACGAATGTGTAAAATCTTAATTACCCCTTCTTGTATTTTGCTCTTGACAAAGTGGCAATCAATTTCTATATGTTTCATTCTTTCATGGAGTACTGTATTTGCTGTTATGTCATTTGCAGCCTTGTTGTTGCAGTATAAAAGAATAGAGTTTCTTACTTGTAATTCTAGATCTTCCAAAAACCCTAGAATATAGATGATCTCACAACTCGTCTTTGCCATGGCTCCATATTCGGCTTCTATTGAAAAAGAGATACTATCGATTGTTTCTTTGTTTTTCAAGAAATAAGAGCTCCCTCTAGCTTGATGCAGAAACCTGTAAGTGATTTCCTTGTCATCGGACATGTGGCCGAGTCTGAGTCACAGTGAGTTGTGATACCAAAACTTTGTCTCGGGGAAGGAAGAGTCCTAAACCAGGACACCCTTTTAAGTATTTTAGAACTTTTATCGCTGCATCCATGTGAGATCGTTTAGGTCTATGCATGGACTGACTAAGAATGTGAACTGCATAACTGATGTCTGGACGAGTCATGGTGAGGTATATCAATCGCCCAACAAGTCTTTAATAGTTTGTGGGGTCTTCCAGAGGTGGATCATCTTCAAAGGATGATATCCCACTATCATACTCCTGAGTATTCAATTTGATGTTTTGCTCTACTGGAATAATACTTGGCTTGGATCTTAATAGCCCAGAATCAGAAATGAGTTCCAAGACATATATATGTTGGCTAAGAGATATTCTTGCTGGGGATCTTACAATTTCAATTCTTAGGAAATTTTTTGCCTCTCTTAGATACTTTATTCGGAATTGTCTATTGAGATGCTCTTTCAAGGATTTGATGCCTACTTCATCATTTCCTATAATAAGAATGTCATCGATGTAGATGATTAGAGTAATGAAAGTTTTATCTCTGTGCCAGGTAAATGATGCATAGTCATGTTTGGATTGAACAAATCCTATGCCAGTGAGAGCTTTGCTGAATTTCTCATTTCCATTGCTGAGATGCTTGTTTTAGTCCATAGATGGATTTTTGCAGATGACATACTATGTTCTCCCCTTGCTTTGATGGAGAGGCTAGTCACGAACGAAAGCCATTGTAAGGAAAACACGAACAGTGACATGTTTGGCTACAAGTGAGAAAGTTTCCTGATAATCAAATCCCTGATGCTGAGTGAATTTCTTGGCTACCAATCGGGCTTTGTAACGTTCAATGGAGCCCTCAGCACAGTGCTTGATTTTGTAGACCCATTTACAACCAATGGGTTTTCTATGAGAGGGACGAGGCACTAGATCCCAGGTTTGAATATGAGTCAAAGCAGTAAGTTTATCAGCCAATGCTTGAGGCCAGTGAGAATGTTGAACAACATCTGAGTAACTAGTGGGTTCTTGGTCGGCAGAGATGGGACTAATACAAGCTCTATGTACAGGAGAGAGACGATCATAACTCACATAATTGGAGGTTGGATAAGTGTACCTGAAGAATCTAAAATTGTGGGACACTCATACTTTGTGGTCTAGATCGGTGGCCGAGTCTGCCAAGTATTGTGGCGTTTGGGAACAATTGGAAGAGGAACAGGGGATCCTAGTGGGGAAACAACAATAGGTATCTGAATAGGTAATTCTGCTGGAGCATCATCAGTGGCTGCTGTGTCAAAATTAGAGGTAGGAGTATCGAGCTGAGAAACCGGAGGAGTAAGTATCATAGTAAAAAGAGGACCTGGTAGAGCATCATCTTCAGGAAATAGCCTAGGCGATGGAGATGAAATAGTATCTTTGGTGGCAAATGGAAATATGTCTTCATGAAACACAACATCTCTGGAGATCATGAACCTGATTTCATTTGGATCATACATTCTGTAACCCTTCTAGAGCACAAGATATCCCATAAAAATACAGCGGTGGCCTGAGTGCCAAACTTGTCATGTGAGCCAAGAGTGGCAGCATAACAAAAACAACCAAATACTCGAAAGTGGGCAAGAGTTAGCTGTTTCTTGAATAATACCTCATAAAGAGTCTTTCCATAAAGGACTCTAGTTGGCATGCGGTTGATCAGATATGTGGTTGTGATCCCACATTCACCCCAAAAGAAGACGGGTATATGGGCTTGGTGTTTGAGGGCACGGGCTACTTCTAGTGGATGACAATGTTTTCTTTCGATAACCCCATTTTGTTGTGGAGTATATGTGCAACAGCTTTCATGTGGTATGCCAAGCGATAAAGAAAGAGATGAACAAGTATGATTAAAAAAATCTCTAGTATTGTTAGCTCTAACCCTTTGGATGGAAGTACAAAATTGGGTGGTGACCATAGATAAAAAGTTTTTAATGTGGGTAAGTGTTTGGGTTTTGGATGCATAAGAAATGT